CACATTAAAAATGTTACTATCAAAGTCTTTAAAGAGGATTTTAAAGGCTGACTCTTTTCTAATGATGACGGTCTTCAAGTCTTGAAAGCCAGAGAGACAAGGAGTACTGACATCTTATTTGGTTATCAGAAGAACGTGGACAGTCTCGGCTCCCAGAAAACCAACCCTTCCCTCTTCCTCTCTATGCATTCACTCAGATCATCCACAAGTAAAAGGTAATGGGCAGCAGAAGAGAAATCGGAACAAAAGAGAACCACTTTTCCAGGGGAAACATTTTTCAATGGGCCCTGTGGCTCAGCCTCTGCTCTCCTATTTGGGGCGGCTGAGCAGCCAGGCAAGGGCGAGAGTCAGAACGAGATGCCCTTCTCTTGATTTTCTGTGCTGCCGGCTCGCAAATCGCAAATCGGACCGTAGCCTCCCCACCTCTCTGTTGAGATACCATTGACAATTCACGAACACAGCACTGGAGTCTTCCCTAGTATTCCCTCCCTGCCCCAGAGCCCCCCTGAACACAATAGGGAACAGGTAATTGAAGGGTGAACAGCGTTACTAACCTCTATTTTATTCTATGTAGCACCTGATGGAGACATGAGATCAGCCTTGGATGAACTGGAAAGAGTGTCCCTCCTGCAAATGCTGCTGGAGCTGTCAGGGGCAGAGAGGGGTGATGGTCTCAGGAAGGCAGGTAAAATAATTCTTGCACGGATCGGTGGTCTGATTTTATTGCTGCTGAATTACTCTCTTCTCCTCCACTAGATGATGTAAAAACCTGTTTTGGAAGAGAAAGATGACCTATAAAACAGGCTAATAAATTGCCTGACACTCTCCCCTTCTGGTGTCAAGACTGCTCTGCAATCTTGTGTTTTCTCTTTCTCACCAACTCCTTGCAAGTATCGTGCTCTCCTTGCCATCCCAGCTTATATATATATATATATATATTTTTTTTTTTTTCCTGTACGGGTTTATATGGAGGGGAAGGAGGGTGTTATCCCAGTTTCCAGTAAGTGCAATTTGAAACCCCGCTTTCCCTCTTGCTAAAATCTTAAGCAAACTACTTAATCACCTGGTACCTCAGTTTCTTATCAGTAGGTGGGATTTGGACAAATACCACCTCAGAGGGCTGTTGTGAAGGCAATGAGACAGGCCAGGTAAACGGCTCCCCACAGTCTCACACACAGCCACCAATAAACTGTCCGCTTTTACTGTTTTCTCTGACTGTACTCTACGCACAGACACAAATTCCCAGGATATTCTGGAAATGAAATGAAGCCTTTTTTTTTTTCTCCCTAGAGAAGGGGGTGGGGGCGGGGCAGAGGGAGAAGGACGATCTTCAGCAGGCTCCACGCTGAGCGCAGCAGAGCCTGACCCCAAGATCAGGACCTGAGCCCAAATCAAGAGTCTGACACTTAACTGACTGAACCACCCCGCGCCCCCAAATGGAACCTTTTACTAGAAAGAAGTTCATTCATTTAAAATGTTTCCAATAAACTACTGAGCTGCTAACTTCCTGGGGAGAATGCAGCACCCTTTGTGGACTCCCGTCAGCAAGAAAGAACAGGGGCCCTGCCCAGTGGCCTTCAAGGAAACATCACTGCAGCGTGAAAACAGGAAGATCAGAAATTAGACGTGACTTAGTAATATTCTAAGTAAAACAAGCATAAACCGGAAATCACAGATCTGATGATGAATGGTTTCCAAATACTGTTTTCCAGGTCTTGGTACCGAAGCTGCTAACACTAGAGGAAGTATGAAAAAGGTAAGTGATTCTATTTATGACGGTTAGGTGAAGCATTTTATACCTTGACTTTAGAGGATCCTGAATTCTTGAACTGGGTCGTGTCCTGGGTGGAAATCATCCCTTCAAGTAACTGGCCAATCGGTGTTATTTCAAAGCATTACTTTTCCTAAATTCTGATCCGTATTAAATGTGACCACAGGCATTTGCCCAGAGCCTGTTTTGGGTAAAAATTACTGTAATAAGTTTAAGGGAATGAACAATAGATAAGGTCCCTACTCTCCAGTCTGTCACCCCTGTGCGAGCTCTTTCATCATCCCCACACGTGGCCTGGGGCCAACAGCCCTGGTGTCACTGGGAAGCTCGTGAGAAATGCAGAATCTCATATGGAGTCAAAATCCCTGCCTCAGCAGGAACCCCGGGTGACTCGTATGCGCATTCCAGCCGCTGGGTGCAGGGTCTAAGTGGAAGAGCGCTGTGCTCAAACACGCAGGTGCAGCATGGGCGACAGAGGGCGGGGCCTGGGCTGTACTCTGGGTGTGGGGGAAAGAGTGGGATAGGGAACTGGTGAATGATAATAGTAGGTGGTTAGAAATGGCATCAATTCCCGGAGGGCCTCAGATGCTGAAAGGCAAGTCTGCACTTGACCATCATCACCAACACCCCCAAACTCTACGTGCTTCCCGAAGGGTTTGTGGGTACACCAGTCCCAATAGCCAAGCGACCGTGCCCACTGTCCTAGCCTCGCCCGCCTCGGTGATTCTGTGTTACGTCAGCACACCGAAACCTCCAGGAAATCCCGAGGTAAACTTGTTTAACTTTAATCAAGAACTTCCCAAACATTTTGGCCAGAGACATCTTTTTTGGTGTAGTACCCACTAGCATCCTTATAAAAATATACCAGACACGCTGCATCCCAGAGACAGCAGACACGGCCTGAGGTCCCAACGGGGCGAAACCACCCAGCAGGGGTTGGTGTGGTATCTGCAGGTGACGAAGTAAAAGTCATCATTCACAGGTTTATATTCTTCTGAGTAGAAGGATTATGGCTAAAGATTCTAAAATCATGAAGGTGATTAGTAGGATCTGCTCGTGCCGTTCTGCAGTAGCACAAAACTCAGGGCCCACACTTCAAGAGAAGTTCATTTCAGGGGAAATACAAGATCTGTTTCACAAAGAAGATAATAAATGGACAGAACATGTTACTGACCGAGTATTTCTTTTTTTTTTTTTTTAAAGATTTAATTTATTTATTTGAGAGAGAGACAGTGAGAGAGAGCATGAGCGAGGAGAACTGAGTATTTAAATAGAGATGGGTCAGTGAGGGCTTGGGGAATTTCACGGCCATCAGCGCGCTGGACCCCCTTCCAGAACCACCACACTCCAGGTTCCTAGTGCAATTACACACCACATGACAGAGCAGACACTTTCAGAGGTCCTAAGTCTTAACTACGGTTCCTCTTTCTTGTAGGGGTCTTAATTCACTGATAACCTGTTTCTTTGTTTGTTGGTGGGTTTAGTTTCAAGCCTTCTCTGGACAAGATCCTAACATTTTCCTGAGTCATCTTTTGGCCAGATATAGGAAACAAGATAAGAAGCGTGGGTCTCCTTCTGAATGCTTCTGGAAATACTGTGTCTGAAGTGAAATGAACATCTACTAATCAACCCAAAAATAATCATCTTAGAAAGTTAAAAACAAAAATGCCTGATTTGAAAATTGTATAGAAAAAAACCTAACCCTGTTCATTATTATTTGGAAAATAAATCCTCTAAGTTTTGCAAATATCATGAGTGGTCATTTTACTTACAAATGTGTCCTGAAAATTTACTACTTTTCTTTCCATCAATTTATCCTTGAATTCTCTGAAAATTTAAAAAGTAAAGCTAGTAAGTGAACAGAAGCAAAAGTAAAATTTAGTTAAGAGAGTTACACTACAAATTGTTTAAACATTATCTTACCTCCATGTCCTTCCAACCTTAAAAATAACAACTAATGTTATTACTTAAAAAAAGTCAGTGGGGCGCCTGGGTGGCTCAGTCAGTTAAGTGGCTGCCTTCAGCTCAGTTCATGATCCCAGAGTCCCTGGATCAAGCTCTAGGTCCCCCAGGGCTTCCTGCTCACTGGGGAGTCTGCTTCTCCCTCTGCCCCTGCCCCACACCCTCCCCTTGCAGGAGCACGTGTGTGTGTGTGTGTGTGTGTGTGTGTGTGTGTGTGTGTGTGCGCGCGCGCGCCCGCGCACTCTCTCTCTCTGAAATAAATAAAATCTTAAAAAAAAAAAAAAAAGGAAAAGCTTCCACTTCCTGCCTTTAAGACCTCAAGGACAGATCTGTAGGGAAAGATGTCTCAGGCTCGAAGAACGGATGCGTCACCTCGGGGACCATGTGGACATTAAGTGGCCGTGGTAACGCTGGTATCTCGCGCTGTAGAAACGAATTTATGCTCGTTCCCCGACGCACAACGCTGGCACCACAAAACTGTTTCACATCTACGACACCAGAAAGAGCCTCAGAGGAATCCCAGGGCGGGGAAACCGGGAACCCTGGGCTGTGTTTCAGGGGTGGGGGCGATGACCCCGGCGATGGGGCTCCGGGGTGGGATCGGAAGGTTCGCACCCCTGCCCCCGCCGTGCAGGGCGAGTCGTCCACCAGGGGAGGGCTCCGTCCACCCCGCGGGCTGGGCTGCGAAATGAGGGTTCGAGGGAGGCTTCTCTTTCTCTCGCGGCGGCTGCGAACATTAAAATTCACGGAGAGCGCCCCGAGCAGCTCCTGTTAGAGCCCGCGCCCGGGATAAGCACTCGGCGGTCTCTTCTCCCCGGGGTTACTGTTCTGCTGCAGGAAGGTGCCACGGAACTGAAGCCTCTAGCATCTAGTCTGGGCTTCGGGATCTCGACCCGTGTTTAACTCTGAGATTCTGTTGCTGCCACAAAGTGTCACACACACTTCGTGAAGCACACGTGTGCTCTAGGGAACCAGACAGAACACGTCTGACGCTGAATTCGGTCAGGCGTTCCGACCGCGTCGATGAGGTGCACAGACGCTGAGGACCCGACGGGCGTGTCACAGGGCTGCCGGAGGGCCGGAGGGCCGGGGGGGGACTCGCCAGCGCAGCGGGAGCTCAGACGCCTGACGGCACACGCCGACCGACCTTGCTGCTGAGAAAACCAACGTTCATCTGAGCACCTTGCAATGCCTCTTAGTAAACATTTCATGATGATAAAAAATACATATTCAGGGCAAAGTTTTATTGACACAGCGCAAAAGTATGTCAGGTTCTACATGTACACAGTTTATTTGTTTTTACTTGAAAAAGATACCTGATTGAAGTATTAATAACCATTAAAAACAAGTAAATTCATACAGTTAATTATAAATTCTGCTGAAACAAAATTTCAATTTAGATTAAATTGACCTTGAGAATTATAATGAAGTTTTACTTAATTGCAAAACAACTCCGTTCACACAGCATTCTGTTTTTCATAAATCCTGACCTCCTACCCAAGAAAATGCAGCCTTTTGGGTAATATTTGTGTAAACATCAAAGCCTATAATACACATTTTTATTATCCATTCCTGTAGTTATTAATACAAAAAGTTAATAAACTTGCACGACGAAGTGTAAAAGTGGATACAGCCCCCTTGGGGGGCAGCAGCGGCACTGCTGAGCCTCCACCCCGCTCCAGCAGCACAAGCGTCAGGGTCCTATCCCTACATACGCCAACTAAGCTACTTGTCAACATAGGGAAGTTACACGCGATATTACAGCTCTGCCTACAGCGAGCACCAGTTTCCTACCAAGTCCGGCGTCAGGTGCACTCCATAAGATGTGTGCTAAGGCAAAGAGATCAGCAAAGTGAGATAAAACCAGTACCAGAAAGACTGAAAAAGAGTTGCTTCCACGATTGAGAACATAAGGTACAAAACGTGCTGCACGAAGCTGCGTGACCTCTGACAGCCACGTGTCATTTCTGATTTATGCAGATTAAAATTTTTGTCCCTGCAGAAGGTCACGAAGAGTACACTGATGGACAACATCCGGGCTGGTTAGTTTTTTAAAATTTGATTTCTCACCAAGGGCAAAAATACCACACCACCTGACCGCCACGATGAGGGCTCAGAAATCGCTCAGCCATCCGGACCGAGCAGAGCATGAGAGCTCCCCTATCCTAATGCCGCAACACTTGCACAGAACAGCTCAGCATTTGAAAATGGCTTGGACACACAGAACTGCCTTCCAGGAAAACCCATTTTAGAAAGCAAACCTGAGCTACGGGAATTGAGAGTCAGGGCCCAGCAGTCATCATGCAATCACAGATAAAAAGGTCAAGTCTCCTAACCATTATCATGATACACTTTTATAAAAAGGTATAAAACTTCAAAGGAGGAAGAGTGTTTTCTTAAAAACAAAACAAAACAAAAAAACAAAATAAAACAAACAAAAAAAGAAAGCTCAGTCTGTTAGATAAAAGATGAAAGGTTACTGCTGCTCCACTACTGGCTTCTGGTCCTCTTTCTGATCTGTGTGGGTCACACGTCATCCAGAGTCTGGGCAGGAACCACGGACTTCTCTGAAGAGCAGGGAGCGAACTTATCAAGTAAACAACCCACTCACTTCCTTGAAGACGCAATTATGGCCGCGTAGGAAGCACTGATCTCTGACCGCTTCTGCATGCCTGCGAGGACGGCGGAGCTCCCACAGGCCACTGCTGTCCCCGTGGACTGCTGCTGTCCCCACGCAGCCCTTCATGGCACTTACAGATCTCTGGCAAAGATGGCCAGACTTCTTGTGTGTAAATTGGTAGGAAAGAAAGAGTTAACTGTTGATTTTGGGCAAGACAACATTAAAACACTGAGGCATAAAAGAACAATATTTTTTACATGACTTCTGAAACTTTTTGCAGTCATTATTTTAAAAACAAAAACATCAGAAAGGGGAATACCACGGGTTGAGTGAGGAGCTCTCTCTGTTTGAACGTCACACGCGCAAAAGCTAACTTCAGCTTCCGAGGAACAAGCTCGTGGTGAGTAGATTCACTGTGAGGGCAGGACTTTGGGAACTTCAGTGGAAGGCGGAGAATTAAAAGGAAAGGTGTCTACGAGAACAAAGCTCAAAGTCCACCCCCGACAAGCAGGTACTCCCGGTGTACCGATCGGTGGTATTTGTTACTACTGGTAGATACCGAAGTGACCCGTGCTGTGGGCAAACGAGAACGTTTCACCGGAATTACGGAGGGAAAGGCCAAGCTGCACGAGGACCAGAGGAAACTTCATTTCTGGGAACCATTCTGAAAAGCAGACGGCCTGCAGGTGGGATGTCAAGTCCTCTCCCAGGGAAAGTGATTTCTGTAACACCAGAAGGAAATGAAGGTGGCCAAGTTTTGGGGCTATTTCTGGCTCTAATTGTGACTACCGTGGATTTCGGGTGCAGCCTGAGCACACACCTCTCTAGAGGCCATTCGATCTCCTCAGAGGACGGCAGAACTAGAAAAAACATCTGACAGCTTTAATGCCCCCGGAACGGGGACATAAAAGACTGGATACACAGCGTTTGCTTCAGAAAAACAAAGCCTATTAAAAAATCAAGAAGGGAAAACCATAACATTCAGTGACAAGTTCATGGTCACTTAGAGTCTTTTTTTTTTTTTTTTTTTGGATGAGGAACGAGGAGACTTTATTTCTCACAACACCTCCCTCCCGTCCCGCACGAGAAGTCTGGTTGTCCAGCGGGTCCCCGCGGGGCGCCTCCACAGCCACTCATCCGCTGTTTGCTGCCGGAGCTTGACCACAGGGTTCCGCGGTGTCGCCCAGGGAGTCCTGGCTTTCGCAAGTGACGCAGCCCTCCGAGAAAGAACAAGAGTGGGCAGCATGACGTAATGTCATCTGGAAGGATTGAATCAGTAAAATGCTGGCCAGGTACCTTACGTCTAGTCCCCAGTTTATTCACTGTGTGTCTGAGAGGAGCCCATGTGACAGTTCATTCCTAATTGTTGTGAGAAGGAACAGGACAATTGTTTACACAATTGTTGCTTAAATTACTTTGGGGCTCATTCATTTACTCTCCTATTCAAAAAGCATAAAAATAGTGTTTTAAGAACGAAGACACTTGAAATGAGGAGCAGGCTCAGCTCCTGCTTTTCGGGAAAGCCACATCTAACCAGACGCCGGCTGCGGGAATACGTTCTGTTCTTTAAAAAGGAGGGAGGGGGATCCCGGCACCTGTCTACTTCAGCAGCCTTGACACCACACTTCTGAACACCCAGCTTTCTTTTCTTGTTATAGTTTTTAACTCCCCACATTGTCACCTCCCACATCCACAGCTTGACACTTGAGGGAATAAAGGCCTCATTCCTGGTACAAGTGTCACAATGGTTCCACAGAGCCACCACAGGGGCCACGGGCAAACCAGAGCTCCACTGGCCAGGCCGCTCGCAGGCGCTCTCACTGAGAAGATCTCGTTGACAGCCAAAGCCCCCGGGCCTCATGGAAAATCCTGCTAGCTATGAATACTCCCTCCAGTGTGAATCCCCCATCTTGAGTTTTAGCTCCGTTCAAACACACCTGCAGATCTGAAATGCACCTCTCTTACTCCTCGCCTCCCCGTCAGCCATACTTCACGGCAGGGGCCCTTCAGCATTCCAACCAGGAGGCACACTTGCACTCCGAAGACCGGCATTCAAAATCAGGGGGACTGTGCGACCGTACATAAATTATTTAATATCTGTACACGTTACTTTACTGCTCATTGGTGAGGTAGAAGCATCTGTGAGGACTGTAATTTTCAGTGGGATGGTGCAATGCGTATTAAGTGCCTCAGGCAGTGCCTGGCACAGAGAGACATCACACAGGACAGCTGTTGTCACAGTGCTTACTTGGATGTCTATTCCTTGAGGGACAGTCTGGCTCTGAATCCAAGAGTGCACCTTGGCCAGCTCCTCCCTCTGGCTGCGTGAGAACCGGGGCTGCTGCCCCCGCAGGCCCGCCAGCTTCTCCAGGTCCTCTCTCAGTACAGCCTCTGTCACCCTGAGGACAAACGAGCAACCTTAGTCCTGAATAAGGCACAGGGTTCTTCCCTCATCCAAGAAAAGCACTTCTGGGCTTGCGATATATTTTCTAACTCTTGCTAATACATAATGCGCATATTAAAAAATAACCGAGGGGCACCTGGGTGGCTCAGTGGGTTAAAGCCTCTGCCTTCGGCTTGGGTCATGATCCCAGGGTCCTGGGATCGAGTCCCGCGTCGGGCTCTCTGCTCAGCGGGGAGCCTGCTTCCCCCTCTCTCTCTGTCTGCCTCTCTGCCTACTTGTGATCTCTGTCTGTCAAATAAATTAAAAAAAAAAAAAAAAAACCGAATCCAATCTTGGTCAATGGGTGAAGCTAGAGCACTTTTTCTTGGTGGAAAGCATCTCACAGCACTCGAGAGGAAACAGATTTCCCTGAGCTCCTCTCTTGCAGAATGCGGAAAAATTCAGAGTCTAGAGAGAGAAGTTCTGGTACTTGTGCGCCCTCTTGGAAGCGCTGTCTGATGGCTTTCTGGTCTCACGACGCACATGTGGGTTCAGTGTGGACCCGAGCATGTGTGGGGCACCGCCACCGTGGCCACTGTCCTAGGCCCACTCATCATCTGACTTCAAATGAGTGAATGTGAAAATCTGGTTCTCTAAGAGCATGTATAAAAACATAATTTGAAAATCATTTTGTATTAACCAACATACTTAAGAAATCATTAAATAAAACTCATAAAAGTGGGCCTCCTAAAGTGCATTCTTACCTCTCAGGTACCTGGTACGTCATGAGAACGCGCTCAGGAGTTTGCTTTATCATTCTCCACATGGCCTCTTCAGCTAAACCGGGAAATGTTTCCTCTTCCTGTGCGTCCTCAGACTGCTGCCAGTTGGAGGTGGTTTCAGGACAACCAGTACTAGCGAAGTCCACACTGCTGTCCCTGCTTCCTGTCACAGATCAGCAACAGCTACAGGTTAGCCGATACCTCTTGGGGGCCGATTTGCCAAACTTCCTCCTCAAAGACTCTGGCCAGCAGCTGACAGTCTGTCCCCACACAGCCCAGCCATGGTCCTGGGTGACCTCACCTCCCAACTCCTCTGCCTTCCCTAGATCCCCCTGTCACTCCTCCCATGATGAGTGTGGTCAAGGCCATACCTTGCTCCTTTTCATCATTTGCAGCTGCTCCACGTCAGCTCCATCTCCCAATCGCTAACCCCCCACTCAGCTTTACTAGCTCGTCTGCTTGTTCGAGTGCACCACGTACAAATCTGAAACCGTGCCTCAGCCCTTCAGCTCAGAGCCCAGTGCCCATCGTCCAGTAACGTGCTTTGCAAGATTTCTTCTTCCCTCTGACTTTTCACAACTACCCAAATGTCAATTCTCATAAAGCCAACTGTGAATTCTATTCTTATGTCAACCCTAGTAGCCAAAGATATGGAGAAAAGTCATATATAATAGGGTACGTTGGTTCATCATCACCAAAAGGATCATCCAGATGCTGGGTAATTCTGCTACGGTCTCTGGCCAGCACGCCAGCCTGCCGCAGGCCTCTGCTCCCTCACTCTCTCATCTGTTAGAAACAGAATTCATTATCCTGACACTATTTGTAAGCTTGCTCATATCTACACTCTTTCCTCACTTATTCCTGTTACAGCAGAGAAGCTATCCATCCATCCATCCATCCATCCATAAAGGCCCATCCCTTTATGGCTGCTATGGGGCTTTGCAGATCATTCTTTTCTTATCTTGCATCTGATCTTTCTAGATCCTTTTCACCAACTTTGAAATAATAAAACAAACAAAAAAATTCAAAAGTACTAAATTATATGGGCAGACATAAAAGAGGTTTTTCCTCATTAAAAAAAAAAAAACTCCCTAAAAGATAATTGTTTAAAGCAACAACAATAACAATTTTATTGGGAGTTTTTAATACATGTAGAAATAATATTTCTTTGTAAGCAAAAAATATCACAGAACATGAAGGGGAAATGGAAGTACTCTTTTAAGGTTCTTAGACATAAAGTGATGTAATACATATAAAGTCTGAAGGTTAACTATGCTAGATTAAAAATGAACTTGTAAGTCCTAGAGTAATGACTAAAAAAGAAAAGATGAGAAGTATAGCTGAGAAGCCAGCAATGGAGAGAAAAAAAAAATCATTAAAAATACATAATTATCAAAAAGAGAGAGGGAGGAGGGGGAAAAAAGAGCAGAGGAGAAAAACATAAAATAAGCAGCAAGATGGAAGATTTGATTTACACTTGACCATATAAATAATCACATTAAATGTAAATGGTCTAAGTATTCTAATTAAAAGGCAGGGACCATAATATGAATTAAAAAATCAATACCCAACCATATGCTGGTTATCAGAAAACAATTTTAAATATACAGATAAGAGAAAAAAAATGGAAAAAATATGCCAGGTAAACACTAATCAAAATAAAGCTGGAGTGGATATACAGATATTTAAGTAGATATAAAGCAAAGTACATTCCATTATAAAGAGATCAATTAATCAAAAGGGCCTAACAATCTTGAATGTGTATGTACCTCATAAAAGCATCAAAATACATGAAGCAAAAATTGAAACATAAGATATAGGCTAATTCAAAACTGTAGTTGGACATTTTAACAGCTCTGTCTCAGTAACTGATAAAACAGAAAATCAATTAGAATGCAGAAGACTAGATCAACAATATTAGCTAACTTGATGTGACTTACATTTATAGAAGAGATTTCTTTTGTGAAAAGCACACATGCTTTTCAAGTGCACATGAAACTTTTACCAAAATAGACCAAATACTGGACCATTAAATAAGTCTCAATGAATTTTTAAAAATATAGACTATGTTTTCTGACTGTAATTAAGTTAGAAACCAATAAAATATGTGGGGCAAGCCCCAAATATTACAAAATTAAAAACATTTTTATAACTCATGGCCAGAAAAAGAAAACATAGAAATTGTAAGATATTTTGGACTGAATGAAAATACATCAAAATTTGAGGAATGTACTCATGTTTAAAGGGAAATTAAAAGCATCAATTGTATATATTTAGGAAGGAAAAAAAGAGTACCAAAGCAATGCTCTGAGGTTAAGAAATCAGAAAAAGAACAAAAAAAATAATCCAAGTAAACAGAAGAAAATAATAAGATTAGAGCAGAAATTGATAAGATACAGAATCAGAAAACAATAGGAAAATAAACCCCAGTAAAACCAAAATCGCTTCTTCGAAAAGTTAATAAAATTGGGAACCATAAGGCCAGAACAATCAGAAGAAAATTAACATTAGTAATAAGAGAGAAAACATTACTATATATTCTACAGACTTTAAAAGGATAAGGGAATATTATAAACAACTTTATGTCAATAAATTCAACAACTTAGATGAAATGGACAAACTCCTTGAAAGATACAAATCACAAACATCACTCAAAAAGACAGAGATGAACTGAGTAGCCCATATATATAAAAGAAATTAAATTTGTTCCCAAAAACCTTCTCCTAAGAAAACTTCAGGCCCAGACAGCTACACTGGTGACTTCTACCAAACATATAAGGAAGACATAATATCATTTCAATATAAACTCTTCCAGAAAAGAGAAGAGAGGGAACAGTTCTCAACTTATTTTTTAGGCCAGCATCACCCTGATACCAAAACCAGACAAAGATATTACAAGAAAAGAAGACAAAGGGCCAATATTTCCTGTAATAGTGTGATAATCCTTACCAAAATCTTAGAAAGAGAATCCAACAATATATAAAAAGGATAGGGGCACCTGGGTGGCCTAGTGGGTTGAGCCTCTGCCTTTGGCTTGGGTCATGATCTCAGGGTCCTAGGATCAGCCCCGCATTGGGCTCTCTGCTCAGCAGGGAGCCTGCTTCCCGCCCCCTCTCTGCCTGCCTCTCTACCAACTTGTGATCTCCCTCTCTGTCAAATAAATAAATAAATAAATAAAATCTAAAAAAAAAAATATATATGTATATATATATACACATATATATAATATATATCAAATAACTAAATGAAATCTAAAATGTGTGTGTGTATATATATTATATCCATATATATAAAGGATAAAATAGCATGACCAAATACAAGGTTTAATATTTGAAAATTAGTATAATTCACTATCTTAACAGAATAAGGGAGAAGAAACATGTAATTACCTCAAAAGATGCAGAAAAATCATCTCAGCAAATTAGCAGTAGAAAAGAATTCCTCAGCTATACTAATAAAAGGCATTTAAGAAAAACCTACATTTAACATCATACTTAATGGTGAAATTCTCCCTGCTTTTCCCCTAAGATTGCTAATAAGATAAAAGTATCAGTCTCACCATTTCTTGTTCAATATTAGGGGTCCTAACAGTCCTAAATAAAGACATACAGATCAGAAAAGAAGAAGTAAGCTGTATTTGCAAACAACAAGACTGTCTGTATAGAAAAGTCCTACAGAATCTACAAAAGAGCTACTAAAACTAATGAGTTTAGCAAGATAGCAAAATACAAGCTCAAAATAAAAATTCAATTAGATTTCTATATGTCAAAAACGAATACTTGGAAATTGAAATTTTACAATGCCCTTACAATAGCATAAAAAAATGAAATCCTTAGGGATAAACTTAGCAAAGTATGTGTAAAACTTGTGCCCTGAAAACTACAAAATGCTGCTGAGAAAAATTAAAGACCTACATAAATAAGAAATACATTATGCTTGTGGATTAGAAGACTCGGTACTATTAGGGTGACAATTCTCTCCAAATTGGTCCACTGATTCAACATGATGTCAATAAATATCCCAGCAGGACTTTCTGTAGAAACTAAGGAACTGATTCTACAATTTATACGGACAAAGGACCTATACTATGCAAAATTACTTTGAAAATAAGAATAAAGTTGGAAGAATTACTCAGATTTCAAAACTTATTTGAAAGCTCTATTACTCAAAAGAATATGGTATTATCATAAAGCTGGCCATAAAGATAAACAGAACAGAAAAGAGAGTCTACAAATGGACCCAACCTGTATGGCCAATTTATCTTCAACAAAGGTGCCAAAGTAATTCAACAGGGGAAAAGACTAATCTTTTCAACAAATGGGACAGGAACAACTGGAGCTCCAAATGCAAAGAAGGTATATCAACCCTTACCACATACCACATATAAAAATTGACTAAAAATGGATCACAGACCTAGCTACCAAAGATTATTTAAAAAGGGTGGCTCAGTTGGTTAAGCGTGGGACTCTTGATTTTGGCTCAGGTCATGATCTCAGGGTTGTGGAATCAAGCCTCACATTGGCTCCGTGTTTGGCACAGAGTCTGCTTGTCCCTCTCCCTCTGCTCCTCCCCTGGCTTGTGCTTTCTTAAATAAATAAATAAAATCTTAAAAAAAAAGATTTTTAAAAAAGACACAACAGGGACCCCTGAATGTTTCAATCAGTTAAGTGTCTAACTTTTGACTTTGGCTCAGGGTTGTGAGATCGAGCCCCACACTTGGGATTCTCTCTCCCTCTCCTGGTGCCCCAGCCCCCACCCATTTGCACATGTATACGCTCCTCTCTCTCTCTCTCTCTCTCTCTCTCTCAAAAAAAAAAAAAAAGACAACAACAAGCTCCAAATGGAGTCACTTGTGCTTGGCCCATGTCAACAAACCAAGACTTAATACTAACCTAACTGCATTTTCATGTTCCTGGGAATGTAACTTTTAACTGATCCACAGGGAATTACCTGGTCAGGACTAATGAGATAAACCACCTGATAAACCCCTTCCATTTCCCTTAGGACTGTGACCTTGCCTGAAATGATGCATCCTTTACTAGTAGTAACTTCCTTTTCCTGTCCCCTTTCTGCCAAACAAAAAACAAAACAAAAACAAAAAAAACCCCAAACTCAAAAAACAATAAAAATAAACAAATGAACAAAAAAACCCCTTTCCATTTTGTACAGCTCTTCAGAACTCCTTTCTATTGCTAGATGGGATGCTGCTCAATTCATGAAACATTGAACAAAGCCAATTTGATCTTCACATTTACTCAGTTAAATGTTTTTGTTTAACAAGATAAAACTATAAAACTTCAAAAAGAAATAGGAGACTATCAGTGACTTAGAGACAAAGAAGAGCATTACATAGTGATAAGGGGCTCGATACAACAAGAGGCTATAACACTTGTAAATACCTATGTACTCGACCTAGGAACACCTAAATACACAAAACAAATATTAATAGATATAAAGGGAGAAACTGACAATAGTAAAATAATATAATAATATTGGGAATATAATAACATATAAAATATATATTAATATATTATATATGATATATAATATAATAATATTGGGAAACGTTAATGCCCCACTTAAAGGACAAATCAGACAAAAGGAGACAATGGCTCTGAACAATATTAGACCACACAGGACTTAACAGATACATATGAACATTCCATCCAAAGACAGCAGAATATACATTCTTTTCAAGTGCATATGGAATATTCCCCAGGCAAGATCACATGTTACGCCACAAAACATATCTCAATAAGTTTAGAAAGACTGAAATCATATCAAACATCTTTTCTGACAATGATATGAAACTTGAAATTAATTATCAGGAAAAAACTGGGAAAAAACACAAATACATGGAGGGTAAATAACATACTACTAAAAAACCAATTTGTTAAATCAAAGAGGAAATAAAAAAACACATGGAGACAAATGAAAACGTAAACACAATGAACCTACGGGAAGCAGCAAAAGCAGTTCTAAGAGGCAATTTTATAGCAATAAGGGCCTACCTCAAGAAACAAGAAAAACCTCAAAACAATATAGCCATAACACCTAAAGGAAACAAAAAGAAAACAAAGCTCGAAGTTAGTAGGGAGAAAAAATACAGATCAAAGTGGAAATACATGAAATGGAGACTAAGAAAACAGAGAAAAGGGACACCTGGGTGGCTCAGTTGGTTAAGCAGCTGCCTTCAGCTCAGGTCATGATCCCAGCATCCTGGGATCGAGTCCCACATCGGTCTCCTTGCTCAGCGGGGAGCCTGCTTCTCCCTCTGCCTCTGCCTGCCACTCTGCCTGTGCTCGCTCGTGCTCGCTCGCTCTCTCTCTCTGACAAATTTAAAAAAAAAAATCTAAAATAAAAAAAATTAAAAAAGAAAACAGAGAAAAGATTGATGAAACCATGAGGTGGTTCTTTGAAAAGAAAAAAAACAATCTGCTAAAACTTTAGTCAGACTCACGAAGAAAAAAGAAAGAAGAATTAAATAAATAATATCAGAAATGAAAGAGAAGTAACAACTGACAACACAAAAATACAAAAGATTAAAAGCCACTACTACAAGAAATCATATACAATAAGTTAGACAACCTGGAAGAAATGGATAAATTCCTAAAAACATACAAACTTCTAAAACAAAATCTGGAAGAAATAAAAATCTGAACAGACCGATTCCTTGTAATGAAAATGAATCAGTAATCAAAACCCTTCCACCAACAAAAGTTCAGAACCAGATGGCTTCACAGGTGAATTCTACCAAACATTAATTAAAAAAATTTTTTAAAGTTCTATTTATTTAAGTAATCTCTATACCCAATGTGGGGTTTGAATTCATGACCCTGAGATCAAGAGTCGCATGTTCCACTGCCTGAGCCAGCTAGGTACTCCTAATTCTACCAAACATTTAAAGAAGAGCTGATACCTTTTATTGTCAAACTATTCCAGAGAATCAAAGAGGAAGGAAAGCTTTCAAATTCATTCTATGAGGACAGCATTACCTTGATACCAAGTCCAGACAAAGACACTACAAAACAAGTAACTACAGGTCCATATCCCTGATGAACACAGATGCAAAAATCCTCAACAAAATACTAGTAAACTGAATTAACAATATGTTAAAAGGATCATTCACCATGATGAAGTGAGATTTATTCCAGAAATGCAAGGATAGTTCAGTATCTGCAAATCGGTCAACATGATATATACCACACTAATAAAGGATAAAAACCACATGATCCTCTCAATAGAAAAATTTGTAGAAAAAGCATTTGACAAAATTCAGCCTCCATTCACGATAAAAACTCCCAACAAAGTGGGTTTAGAGAGAACATACCTCAACATAATAAAGGCCACAAACCCACAGCTAACATCATGCTCGATGGTGAAAAAACTGAAAGTTCTCATTCTAAGATCAAAAACAAGACAAAGATGCCCCAACTTTTTATTCAAGATCCCATTTATTTATTTGTCAGAGAGAGAGAGAGAGAGAGTACATGCACAAGAAGGGAGAGCAGTAAGTAGAGGGAGAAGCAGCCTCCCTGCTGAGCAGGGAGCCTGACGTGGGACTCAATCCCAGGACCCTGGGATCACAACCCAAGCTGAAGGCAGACACTCAACCAACTAAGCCACCCAGGTGTCCCACCCCAGCTCTTATTCAACATGGTACTGGAAGTCCTAGCTTTAGCAATCAGATAAGAAAAGGAGATCAAAGACATCCAAATTAGCAAGGAAGAAATAAAACATCATTATTTGCAGATGGCATGATACTATATATAGAAAACCCCAAAGACTACAAAAAAAAACCATTAGAAAAAATAAATTCAGTAAAGTTGTGAGACACAAAATTAATACAGGGAAATCTGTCACATTCTGTATACTAATAATGAAGCAGCCAAAAGAAAAATTAAGAAAACAATCCCATTGGGGTGCTTGGGTGGCTCAGTCAGCTAAGCCTCTGCCTTCAGCTCAAGTTGTGATCCCAGGCGCCTGGGATCAGTCCTCATGTCAGGCTCCCTGCTCAGTGAGGAGTCTGCTTCTCCCTCTGCCTCTGCTCCTGCTCTCTCTCTCTCTCTCAAATAAATGAATAAAATTTTTAAAAACCTCCACAAAAAAACTAATTTGAAAAGATATATCCACCTCCATGTTCACTGTATCATTATTTACAATAGCCAAGATACAGAAGTAACTTAAGTGTCCATCAACAGATGAAAGGATAAAGAAGAGGCAGTGTATATATATACAATGGAATATTACTCAGCCATAAAAAAGGATGAACTCTTGCCATTTGTGATAACATGGATGGAGCCAGAGAGTAGAAAGCTAAACAAAATAAGTCAGAGAGAAACAAATATATTATTTCACTCATGTGGAATTTAAGAAACAAAAGAACCAAGGAGGAAAAAAAAGAGACAAACCAAGAAACAAACTCTTAACTACAGAGAACAAACTGATGGTCACCAAAGGGGAGATGAGTGGGGGATGGGGAGACATAGGGAATGGGGGTTAAGGAGTATACTTGCTGTGACAGGCACTGGGTATTATATGGAAGTGTTGAATCACTATTATTGTACATGTGAAACTAACCTAATACTGTACGTTACTAGTTATAGTGTATAGTATGTACACTATATAGTACAGTATAGCATATGACTACAATTATGCTGGAATTAAAAACCTTAAAAAAAGAGATGTGATGAGCACACATGCACACACACACACTCACACGTGCACACACGTGTGTACGTGCATGTGCACACACATGCACTGGAATGTTACTCAGCCTTCAAAAAAGAATGAGATCCTGTCAGCTGCAACAACATGGATAACCTAGAGGGCATTATACTAAGTGAAGTCAGTCAGACAGAGGAAGACACAACTTGTATCACTTGTATGTGGAATCTAAAAAACAAAAGAACCAACTAACCAACTAGAAACAGATCATACATATAAAGAACTAGTGGTTGCCAGAGGGCAGGGGCTTGGGGGAGAAGCAACATAGGTGAGAGGAGTAAGATGTGTGAACTTCCAGTCGTAAACAAATAGGTCACGGAGATGAAAAGTGCCACACAAGGAACATAGTCAATAATACTGTAATAATGTTGTATGGGGACAGATGGTAACCACCCTTACCAAGGGAGCACCGCATAACGGACAGAATTGTTGAATCACTATGTCGTACACTGGAAACTAACAGAGCATTGCATGCAAACAAGACTTCAGAATAAAAATAAAATAAAGTTAACCATACACTTAACACACAGCCTAGCAATTTCATTCCTAGATATTCACCGAATAGAAACGGTAAACCGATGTCCACGAAAGGACGCAGACTCCAATGGTCCAGCAACATGATTCATGACAGCCCCAAACTGGAAGCACCTGAATGACCACCACGCAGGGGATGGACTTCCGCACAATCTAATCCTGCTCCGTCCTAAGAAGTCAGGACGGATCTCGGCAGCACCAGTCAGGACGCACCAGTCAGGACGCACCAGTCAGGACGGATCTCGCACCAGTCAGGACGGATCTCGGCAGCACCGTGTTAACTGGGAAGCCCTGAATACGAAAGGCTGCAGCTGGACCCTTCGGCTGACATGACATTACAGAAAAACCAAAACTGTCGTGCTAGGAAGTGAATCGGCGGTTGCCAGGAGCTGGAGCATCAGGGCAGAAGCCGAGTCTAACGGGTCACACGAGAACGCCTCCAGGTGATGGAAACGTCCTACCTGCTACTGTGGTGCTTGTGACACGAATGTATGTATTTGTCAGAATTCTTGTTTTGTATACCCAAATTTGGTGAGTTCTATTGTGTGTAAATGTACCCCAAAAAGTTTATAAAAAAAGAAAAAATACTTTATTTCCACACCAGTGCCAAAGCCAGACGGCCCATCGCACAGGGATCTCCTGGCCACAGAGCTGGAAGAATTCGACCCACTACCTGATGCCGCAGAACCCGTTCCAGGTGGCGGCTCCTCGAGGAGCAGTGCCGTGGACAGCTCACCAGCAGCAAAACCACTGTTCTTCCCACAACTGCCCGAGATGCGCTGCAGGAAGTAAGGACACAGAAAAGATTTTAACCTCTCAAGCATCCTATTACAAAATAATGGCAGATCTTCAACTTCACGTTAAACAAAATAAAGTGCAGACAGAAGGGACAGATCAAACAGTGCAGCCTGTCCCCAGGAATGTGGCTTTGACCTTTCGGTGTAATATTCCCTTTCTATGTAATACTAAAGATACTGCTGGTTTTTGAGCGCCAGGCTCCATACAGTTGTATGTTTTTTTGTTTTGTCATTCCAAAAATAGAGACTGCGCGTTTTGTAAGTTCTAAGCACTGTTCTCAAAACTTGGGACTAGAGTTGTGAACAAAGCAGAAATCCAGCTACCCTGAGCTTATGGTGCATGGGAAGGATTATAGAAATATTACTTCGTTAAAGCCTCAGAATAAGGCAGTGAGGATTAATCTCTTCATTTTCCAAGTGAGGAACAAAGAAGGGAGGCTGGCGGACGTGGTTCGGCTAACACACCGAACCAGGGCCAGAGCACCTGCATCCCTGTCTGGCTGCACAGGCCGGCTTCACTGACGGGCATACACTGCCTGCACATTTCTAAGGGCACTAATATCAGGCTTTGAAATTTCAGTGTACTTTCTTGTTTCGGATCATCAGATTGTGACTATTTGTCAAAAAAGGATATTATGCCCTGAAAAGAAAACTGAAGAAAAACTGTAAAAATTCACACTTGTCTTGAATCCTATACCCAAATATAGGAATATCCTATTCCCAAGTTTAACCGGATACATACATCTGAGAATGATTTTTAGGTAAAAGAGATAAAAAGTTAAAGGAAAATGACCATTGTAATTTTTGGTTTTGAAAATGATGTGCATTCGTGTGGGGCTAGAAGTTGCCTACTTTACTGAGAAGTCATGGGCAGAAAGGGACTCCTCCCGGCTCAGTCCATAGCTGGTGTCCCTCAGCCATGCCTGCAGGAACACACTCACTCCCATCAGGTCTTGTTAGTATGGTTTACTCCTGCCTTACTGCCCACAACCCCAGTTGTAAGTAAAAAAAACTCATTTTATGGGCAATGGGTATGTTAAGTTTAATGACTGGGTATCATTTTTCTTAAACATTTTATTTCTTTATTTTAGAGAGAGACAGAGCATGTGTGTGTGTGAGCAGGGGGAGGGGCAGAGGGAAACTTAAGGTGACTCTGTGCTCAGCACAGAGCCTGACGTGGGGCTCGATCTCATGACCCTGAGAGCATGACCTGAGCTGAAATCATGAGTTGGACGCTTAATCAACTGAGCCGCCCAGGCATCCTGGATATCAAATTTTAAAAGGCAGGGGGTGGAAACCCAGTTCACATAGAAAATGTGAAAGACAGCACTTTGGGAACAAACCTCACAAAGTGTCCAAGAAACCAGGACACAGCAGATTCTTTAACTCCGGCTTTTGAAACGGAGCCAGGCAGATACAGTACATATTTCTGGAACACAAAGCTGCATCAACCCCAGCCGTGCAGTCAACTATCCGCTAAGCCTTCAGTGTTGGGTCTCAGGGCAAGAACCTTAACTTTAACAAGGACCCGCATTTATGTTCTCGCTCATGTGCTGGAGGTTAGTGTCACTTACATACTTTACTTCCAGACAAATATCCCTTCTCGTCCGATCTGAAGATTCACAGGATCCGAGCATGTCTGCCTGCAGTGAGTTTAGCTGTGGTGGTGAGCTGCTCCTTGAGTTAACGCAGGGGTGCTCTCCACGCGGCATCTCCCATTTTCCCTCCACCCGCCTCCGGCTGGGGACAGAGGACAGTGGCTCCAGGTGTGGAGCGACCGCAGACAGTGAGGGCGGTGTTCCAGAAGAGCCCGCTGCTCCCAGGAAATCATATGGGCAGAAGGATGGTGACAACAGGGGACAGCCAGGGGGATCAGGCAAGAAAATGGTCATCACAGTATCTAAAGAAGGAGAAGGGAGAGCAGGAAAAGTCTGCAAGTCGTTCCATAAAGTGGCCTTAGGCAGCCGGTTGAGTGCGGTCAGGGACACTGCATGCTCTCTTCCCACAGAAGGCAGGGCTGGGACGAGGTAAGGACCCAGGTCGGGAGCCATCAGGGCAGCCGGGAAGGGAAGGCTGGAGGCCTGCGGAGCAGAGGCGAGGGAAGGGCCCCAGGGCTCCCTGTGCTGGCCGTCTCCTCCCAAGTGGAGACAGAAGGTGTCCGGGGCGTCCCTGCTGTCCCACAGCCCTGACGGCTTCTTCCGCCCGGGCTTCCCCTTCTTGCAGCCAGCTGACCCGGCCTGCTTGGAAGCCGAGTCTCCTGCAACCATAGAGAGGGAGGCATATTATCAAAAACTCAAACCAAAAAAGAAGACAGGAAGGCCACTGACAGGTAATTATAAGTAGATTAGGAAAGAAGAGACACTTGTCAACAGTAACTATGTCCTCTCCCACTACTCCTGAAAACATGAGCAAGATCCCGGATAAAAGCTGTTGTAAAATAAACTTATTTCAGTATCTCTCAATCACTTTCCTTAGAAAATCAGCTTCTCAGATCAGGATCTAAGAAAGATCTTTGATAACAAATTGCTAAGATGAATTTATTCCATCATCATCTTCCACTTTCTTAAAAGCAAAACTCCTATTCTTTACTCCACATCTCCCAGTACTTACACAAATTTATAAAATTGATAAATGAATATAGTTTTAAAAATACAACTACCTTGAACATACAAATGTTTAGCTTTGCTTCTGCTTTCGTTCTGAAGACAGGATCTGTGCGGCGATGAGAGGATCTTTTCCCGGAATTTATCAACATAATTCTGTTCCTCCTTCTGGGTGTGCGCTGAAACAACAGCCTTCGTGAGCCCTATGTGCATAAATTCTTCTGAGGGCAGTGGAGCTGGGGGAGTGTGTGCTGTCCAGGGCTCACAAGCAGGGCCGATATCCTCTACTGGAGTCACTTCTGCTGAGGTAAGACAGAGATGGTTTTTATTTTTATTTTTTAGTTAACATATAATGTATTATTGGTTTCAGAGGTATAGGTCTGTGAGAATCAATCTTACATAATACCCAGTGCTCATTACATCACATGCCTTCCTGAATGTCCATCCCCCAGTTGCCCCATCCCTCCCTTTCCCTCCCCTGCAGCAACCCTCAGTTTGTTTCCTTTGATTAAGAGTCTCTTAGGGTTCGTCTCCCTCTCAGGTTTCACCTTGTTTTATTTTTTCCTTTCTTCCCCTATGAACCTCTGTTCTGTTTCTTAAATTCCACATATGAGTGAAATCATGTGATAATTCTTTCTCAGATTGACTTATTTTGCTTAGCCTAATACCCTCTAGTTCCACCCATGTCATTGCAAATGGCAAGATTTCATTTTTGATGGCGGCATGATATTGCATTGTAGATATGGACCACATCTTCTTTGTCCATTCGTGGACATCTGGGCTCTTTCCATATTTTGGCTATTGCGGACACTGCTTCTATAAACATTGGGTGCAGGTCCCCTTTTGAGTCCCTACATCTGTGTCTTTGGGGTAAATACCCTGTAGTGCAATTGTTGAGTCATAAGGTAGCTCTATTTTCAACTTTTTGAGAAACCGCCATACTGTTTTCCAGAGTGGCTGCGCCAGCTTGCATTCCTACCAACAGTGTGGCAGGGTTCCTCTTCCTCCACAACCTTGCCAACATCTGTCGTTTCCTGACTTGTTAATTTTAGCCATTCCGACTGGTGTGAGGTGGTGTCTCACTGTGGTTTTGATTTGTATTCCCCTAATGCAGAGCATTTCTTCATGTGTCTTTTGGCCATGTGGATGTCTCTTTAGAGAAAGGTCTGTTCCTATCTTCTGCCCATTTCTTGATTGGATTATTTGTTCTTTGGGTGTTGAGTTTGATAAGTTCTTTATATATAGATTTTGGATACCAGCCCTTTATCTGATATATCATTTGCAAATATCTTCTCCCATTCTGTCGGTTGTCTTTGAGTTTTGTCGACTGTTACCTTCACTGTGCAAAAGCTTTTTATCTTGAAGTCCCAATAGTTCATTTTTGCCTTTGTTTCTCTTACCTTTGGAGACCTGTCTAGCAAGAAACTGCTGTGGCCAAGGTCAGAGAGGCTGCTGTCTGTGTTCTCAAGGATTTTGATGGATTCCTGTCTCACATTTAGGTCTTTCATCCATTTTGAGTATTTTTTATGAATGGTGTAAGGAAATGGTCCATTTTCATTCTTCTGCATGTGGCTGTCCAATTTTCCCAACATCATTTGTTGAAGAGACTGTCTTTTTTCCATTGGACATTCTTTCCTGCTTTGTTGAAGATTAGTTGACCATAGAGTTGAGGGTCCATTTCTGGGTTCTCTATTCTGTTCCATTGATCTATGTGTCTGTTTTTGTACCAGTACCATACTGTCTCGATGATTACAGCTTTGTAATACAGCTTGAAGTCTGGAACTGTGATGTCACCAGGTTTGGTTTTTTTCAACATTCCTCTGGCTATTCGGGGTCTTTCTGGTTCTCATAAATTTTAGGATAATTTGTTCCATATCTGTGAAAGAAGTTGATGGTATTTGAGAGGGATTGCACTGAATGTGTAGATTGCTCCAGGTAGCATACAGATTTTAACAATAAGGATTCTTCCAATCCACGAGCATAGAACATTTTTCCATTTCTTTGTGTCTTCCTTAATTTCTTTCTTGAATCTTCTATAGTTTTCTGAGTAGAAATCCTTTGCCTCTTTGGTGAGAGTTATTCCTAGGTACCTAATGGTTTTGGGTACAATTGTAAATGGGAATGACTCCTTAATTTCTCTTTCTTCTGTCTCATTATTAGGGTATAGAAATGCATCTGATTTCTATGCATTCATTTTATATCCTGCCACTCTGCTGAGTTCCTGTATGAGTTCTAGCAATTTGGGGTGGAGTCTTTTGGGTTTTCCACAGAGTATCATGTCATCGAAGAAGAGTGAGAGTTGATTTCTTCCTTGACAATTTGGATGCCTTTTCTTTTCTTTTGTTGTCTGATTGTTGCAACTAGGAGTTCTAGTACTAGTGGTGATAGTAGACATCCTTGTGTTGTTCCTGACCTTAGGGGGAAATGAGAGCTTTTCTCCATTGAGAATGATATTCATCGTGGGCTTTTCATATATGGCTTTTATGATATTGAGGTATGCTCCCTCTATCCCTACACTGTGAAAAGTTTTAACCAAGAAAGGATGCTGTAGTTTGTCAAACACCTTTTTTGCATCTATTGAGAGGATCATATGGTTCTTGTCCTTTCTGTTATTGATATAGTATATCATATTGACTGATCTGTGGTTGCTGAACTACCCTTGCAGCCCAGGAATAAATCCCACTTGGTCGTGGTGAATTATCCTTTTAATGTATTGTTGGAGCCAACTGGCAGTATCTTGGTGAGAATTTTTACAACCGTGCTCATCAAGGATATTGGTCTGTAATTCTCCTTTTTGATGGGGTTTTTGTCTGGTTTTGGGTTCAAGGTAATGCTGGCCTCATCAAATGAGTTTGGAAGTTTTCCTTCCATTTCTATTTTTTGAAACAGCTTCAGAAGAATAGGTATTAATTCGTTAAATGTTTGATAGAATTCCCCTGAGAAGCCATCTGGCCCTGGGCCCTTGTCTGTTGGGAGATTTTTGACGACTGCTTCAATTTCTTTGCTGGTTATGGGTCTGTTCAGGTTTTCAATTTTTCTTGTTTTAGCTTTGGTAGTTTATACATCTCTAGGAATGCATCCATTTCTTACAGAGTGCCTAATTTGTTGGCATACAGTTGCTCATAATACGTTCTTAATATTGTATTTCTTTGATGTTGGTTGTGATCGCTCCTCTTTCATTCGTGATCTTATTGATTTGAGTCCTTTCTCTTTTCTTTTTGATAAGTCTGACTGGAGGTTTATCGATCTTATTCTTTCAAAGAATCAGCTCCTACTTTCCTTGACCTGTTCTACTGTTCTCTTGGTTTCTCTTTCACTGATTTCTGCTCTAATCTTTATTATTTCTCTTCTGCTGAGTTTAGGCTTTATTTGCTGTCCTTTCTCCAGCAACTTTAGGTGTAGAGTTAGGTTGTGTATTTGAGACCTTGTTTCTTAAGAAAGGCTTGTAATGGTATACATTTTCCTCTTAGGACCACCTTTGCTGCATCCGAAAGATTTTGAACAGTTGTGTTTTCATTTTCATTTGTTTCCATGAATTTTTAAAAATTCTTCTTTAATTTCCTGGTGACACATTCATTCTTTAGTAGGATGCTCTTTAGCCTCCATGTATTTGAGTTCTTTCCAAATTTCCTCTTGTAATTGAGTTCCAGTTTCAGCCCTGTCCAAAAATATGCAGGAAATGATCCCAATCTTTTGGTACCAGTTGAAGACCTGATTTGTGACCAAGTGTGTGATCTATTCTGGAGAATGTTCCATGTGCACTCAAGAAGAACGTATATTCTGTTGCTTTAGGATAGAATGTTCTGAACGTATCTGTGGAGTCCATCTGGTCCAGTGTGGCATTCAAAGCCCTTATTTCCTTGTTGATCTTCGACAGATTTCATTTTAATTGTTACCAATTATTTGCATTTATTTATTTTCACTAAATTTAACTTATTTTCAATAAATTCTTACAACCATTATTACAACAGCAGGCATATAAAAACTTTATCAACCTAGCAAATAAGTTGGTTTCCTTTTTCTGCTTTTCTTTATACTCTTTGTACACTTGTATATACATTTTAGAGTTGTAATACTCAATATGTATATACATATTTATTAAAATCTTACTGTAAATATTTTAGCTTTGTAGATTTTTCCAAAATGTTTTTTATATTTGAATTAATTTTACAAATCTGTAATATATTCATGGGGTTCAAAAATCAACAAGCTTTGAAAAAGCAGTCGTTAACTCCTCCCCACTCCTGCCTACTATATGCCTAGTTCTTCTTTATTTTCCCCACAGAAAACCATTTCTTTTATATCTTTATCGGTCCACTTTCTTATGTACCTATAAAGAAGAATATAGATTTTTTACCCCAAAGGCATGTAATATGTACACTATCTATAGCGGTTTTTTTTTTTTTTCCACTTAATGCTATCCCTTCTACCAGTTCAATGACAGCTATCTTACACTTTTTCTGTATCATAGTCTTCCATTTCTTGTGTATACCACAATTTATTAAAGTAAACACCTACAGACAGACTTTGAGTTGCTTCTAAATATTACTTCTCCCAAGTACAAGAGACTTCATGGTGGACACAGTAGGCTTCCCCACAACATCCCTTCCACCTCTCCCCTCTGTGCAGAATCCAGGCAGCATGGATGTGCCTGGCCCCACTCCACTTCCAGAAGTGCACTCTGATTCATTTAAATCAACACAGCACAGCCAAGATGGAGTAACAGGGACTGGATTTACCCTCCTGCCTGAACCAACTAAGAAAATGGGCAAAACATATGAACCAGTAAGTTCCAAGACACTGAACATCAGTGAATGAAGGAGAGTGACCCCTGAGGGAGGGAAAACAAACATGCTGAGCCCTGGGGCTGCCCCAGCCTACTGCCTTGAGAGTTTCTGAGATATAGGGTGGGGAAACCAGGTGAAGCCTGTGAACCCCCTTAGTTGATGAGGCAAAGCCGCGAGTCTGGTTGGTGGCTAGAGTTTGCAGGGAAGAGTACTGGGGGAGGAGAACTGCAGACAGCGGGCTCCACATAGCCAGACAGAACCCCCTGGGGTATTCAACAGTGTACTCATGGGAGAAGGAACAATCACCGAAGCTCACACTATATAGAGAATAGCATGGGCTCCCTTCAGCCAGACTGAGAATCTCCTAACTCATGGGCACTGAGTATAGTACTCCAAAGGACCTTGCCTCGGTAGCAGACAATAATTAGCCACAGACTACACACTGCTCTAACAAATTTGAGAAGCAAAGCCTGAAAGGAATGATTTGTTTCCAAGTAACTTAGCTGGGTCCCAGA